TAACTATGGCTGGGTCTATAAAGGAGTAACAGGAGGGGAGATTCCAGGTTTGAACACAATGTATTGAAAATGAGAAAAAAAGGGAAGACATTCTACAACACTTTTGTTTTCAAAGACATGGGGTCACACAGACGTGTACACACACTCACACACACATGCACACGCACACACACACACACACACAATGTCACTGATTTCTGGCTCCTGTGGTAGCTGGAAGTAGTTCACAGTGTTCAGACACATATTGACGCATGGAGAGTTGGAAACCCAGGATGGCCAAAACTGCTACTACCACATTCATAAAATTTCACTGGTTCCCCACACCATGGACATTCCTAAACAAGTCTCCATTTTCTGGCTGCTCAATTAATCATCAAAAGGGGTGGTACCTTACCTTTCCTCCAAATCATGGATAGCATAAAAGGCTGTATACATAGTTAGTATTCCTCACTACCCCCAAAGCACACATGCGCACACACACACAATATCCCTAATTAATTAGTACCTGTAAAAATACGAAAACTAAGCGGGGGCAATATGAAAACGCACTGGTTTTTCCCGCTTTGGGGTCAAGCAAAATGTTTCTAAATGAAATGGCCTATCTCCCCTCTATGAAGATCAGTAATGCTTGAAGAAGTGATTCACAAACAGGCTCCTGTGCCCTCAGAAGGAAGCATGGCTTTTAGCTAATGGAACTTCCATTGGCTAATACTATTATCGATTTTTATGCTCTTAGATTCACAAACACTGGCAGCCATCTCAGCACAATGCTGGCACCACATCCACCCTTTCTCCCCCGAGCAGGCAGACACTGGGCCATGCTGTATGCAGTAGGAGTCCAGTCCTCTGGAGATTATGGATGTTGATCCCAGGAAGATGGAACTCCTGATGGCAGATCAGAAAATCCCACGGGCACTGCTTGCCAAGCTTTGTCAAAACTTCACCTGATGCACAGAAAAAGCTCTTCATTTCATCACATAAAGATTATGAGCAGCTTTCCAAAGCGGGGAAAATACACTAAAACTTTTAAATGCTTTTGCTCGGAGAGATCCTCAGTGAATTAGGATATAATCTCCTCACTGTCTGATCAATGTCTTCCTTCCACAGTCCAAACACAGGGTTCCTCCAGGGGTGGATGGTCTGTGTTAGACACACTGAAATTCATTATCTTGTCTGCCTGGGCTACTGTTTCCAATAAAGTGTAATTATGGTGTTATTGAGCTCCTTCTCACTTTCTCAAAGCCATGCTATAAACTTTGGTCCGAGAGCACTTCCCAGTCAGTCTTCATTAAGTTGAATTGTCTCAGAACAATGTCTACTTAATCAGCAGGGTGCCTGCTAATTTCTTTTTTAGAATTTGTATCAACGTAACAGACACTGGAGCTTCATGCCTTAGACACTACACAGTTACAACTCAATGTTTCTTCTGACTTCAGGAGGCCCGTGGCCACTGAATGCAGGGTTACCTGGTCCCTGAAGATTCCCGTCTCACCTCTATTGGCCAGGTGGGGTGCCTGTCTCCCACAGGGACAGCACCCAGCACTTCCCACCTGCAATAGTGGAAGTAGAGTGCTTTGTCAATTGCTTCTATCACTTAAGAAACTATGTGAGGCAGAGGCTTGTATCCTGTTCCCCCCCCCCCGCAGCACTCAGCACAAAGTCAGGCATATGGTAAAGAGCTCTGCAAATACTCATGGAGTGACTGCAATGATGGATGAGTGCACTCCACTTCCCTAACTTCTGGTCACGGGTCATGCCTGGTAGCGCTGTTGGCCAGAAATGCAACATGCTCATAGATCCAAATTGCTAAGAAACAGAGAAAGGAATTTGTTTACTCAGCATCTATTATGTGCATAGTTTTAGCACGGAGCAGGATATCAAAGGCCTTGTGGGTTGTAATGAAGACTTGGCCTATACTGATTTTGTTGGATAAAGCTGATTTGCAAAAAGAAAATTGTAAGAATAAACAAGTATGATTTAAAAAATGGGGAAAATATTTGTAATAAACATAAGATAGTAAGATTTCTCCAGGAAGAATAAAAACCTCCAATTAGATATTTTCAGATTGCATTTCCACCTCTTTCTGACCTAGGCTTCTTTATCTTAGGTCTTGACTGCATTTTATATCCCCGTATCAATGAAATCATTTTCAGGGAAACAGTTTCCTTGGCTCCTCCTGTCTGGCTTTGCAGCATTATGAGGAGCATGAGTGGATTTTCTATCTGAGGCAACCAATTTCCTAAGCAATTAAATGCTGTTTATATTCCAAACTCTGTGCTTGGGTTGAAATCGTCAAGCTTGATATTACCTGACTATTGCCTAAGATGTATCCCCAGCTAGTTCATTCTACTGTAACTGCCATCTATTAAAATTTCCAATCTGTTCTCTCTCAAGGGATCACACAGTACTTGGTAAAGGTGCAGCTTCTAAATTCTGCAAATTATACTCATATATATATAAATATATATATTTGAAATGGCAAGGTTTGCAAATTACTTTACCAAACTGACATCCCAATCTGCTATCCTCTAACAGGAAAGGTAATGCCGTGTTCCTCTTACATGCACAGATATTCCGTGTTGTTTCCTTAAAAATAACATAATGTACATGCTAAACTTTCGTGAAATTCCTCCATGAGGTCACAGAATCAAGGTGCTAGTTTTTGTCATTTCTAGGAGTGGACACGACAGAAGCTGATAACTATAGAATGTACTGGATATGAAAGAAAAAAACTCTTTGTCCCCAACTCAACATTCCTGGTTGAGGGTGTCGCTCTCTCTCTTTCTGGCCACTTATTACGGCTTCGAGTCTGAATGGCAAAGTGAGAGGATACACTTACATTTTATAGGCTTTTTATTAGAGGGCTAGCCATGGCCTCTGTGTTACAATGGGGCATTTCAGTGGCAGCTGCAGCTTACTAGGGGTTCCCAAGCCCTGAACTGGGGATGAGGGCTACAAGCAGAAGTCTTTTTTGTTTAAAATTCTTTTTTTTTAAGCATAGAATGTCAACTTCGTATCTTTTGAAAATAGGATTTGGGCAGTTTTTCATACATTTCCTTTAGTGAAAACATCAAATCCACTTTACAGACAGCCAAGCAATAAACTAGCTTTGCTCTAAAATACTCAAAGGACCAATTACATCTCTCCTCTCATAAGAAGCCTTCAATGGCTTATGGAATAAACCCCAACCCCAGTGGCAGCCTTCAGGGCCCCAGCCTGCTTTTAGAGTTTCACTTTGCTCTATAAACTTCGGACAGCAGGCAGGCCGCATGGCTTTCTCCTCCAGTGTCAATTCCTCTCTGCTTCCTTCATCTGTATTCCTAAGGCTCCAGCCTCCGACTAGAATGTGTTTATGCCCATTCTTTTTGTGAGAAAAAAAATCTTGTGTACCCTGCAAAGTTCAAATTCTGCCTCCTCCTCTCTGAAGACTTCCTTGACACCTTCAGCAACATTATTGGCAAGCATTCCTGAGTTCTCAAAGCCTGTTGCTCACACCTTGGACAGTCATGTCATTGGCTTTGTATTACCATTAACCATTTATTTGTAGACACCTCTGTGTGACCAGCTACTGTGACCTATGTATTCTCATTAAAACCCAACATGCCTGCCCGGCCCACGTGGTTCAGCAGTTGAGCATCAACCTATGATCCAGAAGATCAAGGGTTCGATTCTCCGTTGGGGACATGCTGGGGTTGTGGGCTTGATCCCCAGTAGGGGGCGTGCAGGAGGCAGAAGATCAATGACTCATCATTGATGTTTCTATCTCTCTCTCCCTCTCCCTTCCTCTCTCTGAAATCAATAAAGACATATCTAAAAAAAAAAAAAAAAAAAAAAAAACCTTAAATTGGATACAAAAAGATCATTAAAAAAAACACACACCAAAAAAACAAACACACCTGACATGCCCAATGACTTGAGGACAGATTATAAAATGCTCTGATGCTACTCATGTCACACAAGTTTGATTAGTAATAGCAAAAACTTCACATACACACACAATTCAAATTTCAAGACCTGGCCCCTCCCCAATCCCCTGCAGTTCCCTGGGGCCGGTGATAAAGCCTCCCTGTCTCTCTCTCGTCGCATCAAACACGGGAGAGGAGCGCAGAAAGCATCTGAACTCGTGAAACACACACGCTTCCAGCCCTGATTACCCTGTGGGCGCGAGGCGGGCCCCTTCGGCTAGTCTCTGCGTTTCCCCTGTGTCCCCCAGGACCCCCGCGCGGGGCGTCTGCGCTGAGGGCAGCCGCGTTGCAGGGTCTGGAGCGGGTGCAGGCGCCGCCGGACCCGCCCGCCCAGCTCCTTCCACCCCAGCAGACGGCAGGGGCCTGCTTTGGGGCCGAAGCTGACGACTCCTCTGCCCCTCTGTCCGGGAGGCTGTAGGGTGAGCGCCCAGACACCCCCAGGGGGCGGTGGCGAGGGCGCTGGAAAAGGGCGGCACCGAGGCCCGCGGCGCGCGCTCCCCGGTCCCTCCCGGCGCAG